CCCCCCCCCAGGCCCCGGGTCTTGGCAGCCAATCTGCCGCTTTCCCTGTTTGCCCCCTTTCCAGCTCCACTCAATGCTGGACCCTCTGCTACCATTGGAGCGGAGCCCTACAGTTGGTAGCAGCAGAGCAGCTGGCATTGATTTCCCTTGGTCCAGGAAATTCCCTGGTTCTGATCCCGAGGGTGCCAAACCAGGAAGGTACAGTGTGTATTTTGTCTTGTTCACCAGATCTTGTTCACCAGATCTAACTTTCTCAAGGATCAGTAAAGCTAGAAGCATCTCGTGTTAAACCCTGTATACAGTGTTTACTTAATGCATACATTCGCAGAAATTACATGGGAAAAGCTCTGTTGGCTGATCTGGTTCAATGCAGTCTTGTTTCCTGTTTGCTACTACTTTGTCAAGTGTAAGGGTATGTCTTCACTACTCGCCGGATCTACCGGCAGCAATTGATCCAGTGGAGGTCAATTTATTGGGTCTCAATAAATCAACCATCAACTGTTCTCCTGTCGACTCCGGTACTCCACCAGAACAAGAGTAAGCAGAGTCGATGGGAGAGCATCAGATGCTGACTTACCGTGGTAAAATAGGTCTAAGTATGTCGACTTCAGTGATGTTGTACACATAGCTGAAGTTGTGTAACTTAAATTGATGGCCCGCAGTAGTGTAGACTTAGGCCTAATTTATAATGGCTCAAGCAATATTACTTCTGTTGCAGCCTTCAGGAATTGTAATTCAAGGCTCTTGGATCTGTCACTAAATTATACTTTACAGCCAGCCTTTTCCCTTAATTTTACCCATTTACTTTTAATTACATTATTTTAACCTCACTAAATCCCTGTCCACCTTCTGTGCATATAAATTCTACTCCGAAGAAAGGAATGTAGCTTTTATAAGGGATGCATTCTGTTAAAGCTCAAATAAGTAAAAGTAGAGAATTAGAACAAGTACACACTTGTGTTAAATACCAGACTTCCCAGGCAATTTAAGGTTAACTCAATGGAGAAGATATAGGGAAATCATTAGAGATTCTTACCAGCCCGAGTAGTCCATATACATAGAATCTGAGTGGTGACAGATGATTTTAAGTGGTTTCATGTAAGCTGCTTTTGACTACTAGAAGTGAGAGAAGTTTTGGTACTTTAGGTGCTTTCCATTAACAAACCAAACCTCATTTTACTATTTTGATCATCTTTGCTGTGTGCCAAATACTCACTTTTCTGTGAACTTATTCTCTTGTTGTTTTGTCTGTGACTCGTCTTAATTTTGGCATAAGTCATGCAGAAAATACATGCTTCTTCCCTGACACTACTTGTTCAGTAGCAAAATATTACATGTTTTCATATTTTTAAAATGAAATATTAAAATGAAATGTTTAAATAGCCCAACCCAGGAAGTAAGGCAGAAAGTGGTAAAACGGCACTTTTGACTAGTTGGGGTATTAATGGAACCTGGGCTTGGGTATTTCTCCTACACTGGTCTCACATAAACTGTATAAATTTATAAAATAACTTATTTTTCATGATTCTTAGTGGTACTCCAGGTGACTGGAGATTACCTGCTACGTGGTGTTAATGGTTCCGTCTAATGCTTGGATCAGCCTTGGGTAAATCCAGTTAGATTCAGCTCCTTGCCTCCCAGATGCCTTGTGGATAAGCAGCACGTACCAGGATGTATAGAAGTTGAGTGTGTCCTGGCAAACTACAGGGACTCCCTGATCCAGCAGACCAAGGAAGTTCCAGGGCCAGAGTCCTGATGGAAGGCTGGCACTTGCGCTCATCCCAGCTGGGCTGCCTGGCTCGCTGCCGCTGGACTGCTTGGTACAACCCAGCGGGGCTGCCTGGCAGGGCCAGGAGCCTGGATCCCAGTGCACTGCAGCAGGGCTGCCTGGCACAGCCAGGAGCCCAGTGCGCAGGGAGCTGGGCTGACCAGCTTAGCAGCGGGTCGGGGGAACTGGCAGAGCAACAGAGCTGGCAGTGGGGAGGGGAGCTAGCCAGGAGGCTGGTGGCCAATCCAGGATGGGCGGGGAGGTGCTGCAGTAACAGGGGCCAGATAACACCTCCCTGGTCCAGCAAAATCCCTCATCTGGGACCGTTCAAGTCTCGAAGGTGCTTGACCATGGAGGTCCAACCTGTATTGCTGGCTCTGTTTTAGTTGGAGATGAGTAAAGGCTCCAGGGAAAAATGAACCTCTTTTGATTTATTTTTCTCTTCCCTGCTTTCCCTCTTACCCTTGTCTTCCTCTGACTGCAGCTGACTCCGAGTAGGGCCTCTCAGGGTATTGTGCAATTGACAGGACAGACCCATACATGGGGGGTGGGGGGAGTGTGAATGCACACACCCAGTCTTCCAAGTAAGGCTGGGGTGGAGCGTTGGCCGCAGCCTTCCTTCCCCATCCTCTAGCCATCTGGGAGAAGCCTGGGGCTGATTTTCCCCATACACATTCGGGTCAGGGTGGAGCTGTGGGGGCAGGGCAGCCACCAGCTGCTCGCACCCCCCACAGAAATTCCTGCATACAGGACTGCAGAAGATCTCACCTTTCATGGTTTTAGGCATGTGAGTAGTCAACTACCTCGTAAGTCTAGCCTTGCTGTATCAGAGGCAACAAGGGGAGGTGGGGAGCAGGAGCTGGCTACCCCAGCACCATCTGAGGGTGGGCAGGGGAGGCAGAGGCGCAGCGGTTCAGGACCCGGCGTGAGCCAGGACTGAGTCCCGGCTCGCACCAGGTCCAGGACCACTGCGCTTCTGCTTTTTAAATGTAGTGTAAGCTGCCTGGTTCTGACTACATTTAAAAGGCAGAGGCACAGTTGGGATAGCGAGATCCCCAACCACCCCTTATCAACTAATCGAGTAGTTGATGGAAATTCCATTGACTACTCGATTAGCTGATTAACTGAAACGTAACATGCCTAGTCTAGGACCTGGTGAGAGCCAGGACTCAGCAGTCCTGGCTCATGCCGGGTCCCAGACCTACCCCCGCTGCAGCTGAAATGCAGGAAGCCTGGCTACTACTACATGTTAGGCTCCTACTACATTTAAACTGCAGAGTCGGAGTGGGGCCCCTTATCGACTAATCGTGTATTCGATACAAATTGCATCGAGTACCCAATTCATCCGCTTCTTAACATCCTTAATTCATATCCCAGTGTTTATGCAGTATCCTCCCCTGAGATGGTAATAGGAATGTAGCCCTGCTGCATTCCTGGGCCAGATGTCAGCAGAAATGACCAGAAGAGGGCAGTTCCGAGTGACCCCAACCAGTTACCGATCCATGGGAGGATAACTCGCTTGCTTTGCTTAAGATCCTTTGGTGACGAGCCTTGTCAAAGACTTTCTGAAAGTCCAACTACATTGTATCTACTGGGTCACCTTTGTCCACATGCTTGTTGCTTCCCTCAAAGAATTCTAAGAGGCTGAGGCATGATTTGCCTTTTCAAAAGCTGTTGACTCTTCCCCAACCAAATGTGCTCATCGATATGCCTGATAATTCTGTTCCTTAATATAGTTTCAGCCTATTTGCCTTGTGCTGAAATTAAGCATATTGACAGCCTGTAATTGCCAGGATCACCTCTGGAGATGTCTATGCAAATAGGGGTCACATTAGCTACTGGGGATGTAAAATCCTGTTTAAAATATTTGCCAGTTAAACTACATGTTTAACCAGTTAACTGGCCTGCCCTGTCCCACTGTGGGCAAAAGGCTGCTGGAACAGCCCCCCATCCGCAGTGCAACGGGGTGGGCCCAGCTGAGCTGGCACAGACCTCTGCCTGTGGCATGGCACGAGCAGGGGGCTGCTGTGATCAGGCAGGGCCTGCTACGCTGTGGGTGGGGAGCTGCTCCAGCCAGGCTGGGAACCAGTTAACTGGTTACCATGGTAAGCATGGCAGTAAGGCAATACTTACCAGGTAACCAGTTGCCCCTTCACATACCTATTAGCTACCCTCCTCTTGCTAGGTACTGAGACTGATATAAATGGCAGCTTACACACCATTCTAGTAGTCCTGGGGGTTCATGTTTAAGTTCCTTCACAATTCTTAGATGCATACTGTCTGGTCTTGGTGACTAATTACTGTTTAGTTGATTCAGACACCTGTTGTAGTGGCATCTCCATCTAGGACAGTTCCTCCAATTTTCACCTAGAGAATCTGAGTTGTATGTGTTCAGCTCAGATTGAAGTCTAGTTGATATTGGACCTATTTATAAAATTGCATGCCGACCAAGATCTGCTGCCATTCTCATCATGTAAAAATCCCATACGGCTTCCTTAGTCCACCAACTCACTTCCAGATGTGTCCCTCCCCCCCGCAACTCCCAGTTTTCCTGCCTTTCTGGAACAGAGTGCTTTCTAGTGCGCTCTGCGTGTGGATGGTCTTATTTATAGAGATGAATGAAAAACAGCAAGAGTTGGCTTTATGAAGCCATAAATCACAATGCAGTGGTGAACGTAGCCCTTCATCCCATTCAGACATGTAAAGCTTCCTCCAGGAATCTATCGTGTAAATAGCAATAAAGCACGTAGTAGAGAACAGAAGGGAAAATAATGTATACTCTGCTCAACTTGCAGATCAGCCCATCTGGACTGCATTAATTTGTTTTGCAGTTGATCAGTGCTGGGATTAGTATGTTATCCCTGCTGGGAGGCAGGCAGCAATATTTATAACCTGGTTAAATTATGGGATGTTTTTGCTGCTCAGTGCATCGGGTAATAGATGAATATTAGCTAAATCTCACAATTCCAGGTATCATAATACTGACATGCTCTGCCTTTGGTAGTTTCGAACTAGAAATGCAAATCCTCTTAGCAAGCAAAATGCATTTTGTGAAAGGGATACGAAGTTGGACTTTACCTTTCGTAAGATGTAAGGCCGATGCAAACGTGGGTTTTTTGTTTTGTTTTTTTCAGGTTTAAATGGAACATGCAATAATTCTAGTGTACCAACATCAACTTCGGAAATGCCAGATTATTTATTGTAAGTATCTTCTTTGTATCATTCCCCAGGGTCCCATTCCAAACTCTGCAATCCAGCTAGTGACTGGAACATAACGAACCATCACTCAGTTGTTTTGATGTCTGTTAGGAAATTTTTTCCAGAATTCTAACCCCCTCTCCTCCAATCCCAGGTAGAAAGCGCAAATTCACCAATGTATGCCTTAAACTTCAGTTAGGTTTTACAGCAGCCTCTGTTCTACCCCGATGCCAGTGTTATGACAGTTTTCCTTGCTGCAATCGAGTTCACGTCTCCTAAATAACAATACCTAACGCATTAACCCTCACCACCCCTTTGGAGGTAGGGAGACAATATCCTATTTTATAGCTAGCGACATCGAAAGGAAATTACTTGCGTGGTTATAGAAGTCCGTCACTTTCACACCGGTGCTCTGGATTCTTAGGGTATATCTGAGGTCATATTTTTGTAAAGGAAACCCTGTACTCTGGGCTGGACAGAGAAGTGAGAAGCTGCTTTTTGAAACGTTTGCTGTGAAGTGTGTTTCTCTGTCATGTTTCGCAGAGATTGCTAATGATGTTAATATCTGTAAGTTCACATGCAAGCCAGGAGCCTGTTGGTTCAATCGGCCTCTCAGTCCTTTGTCTTGTCGTTGTATTGGAGATGGGATTTCATTTTTGCCTTGAGGATAGTGAGTTTCTATCTCTTTGTTGTAGTGACATCTGACCTGTTGGGTGACCCCTCACAAGGCTTTGTGGTGGCATGTGGGTGGACAATGGCTCCACAGGGAAGTTAATGGGTAGTTGAATTAGGTGGGGAAAGAGAACACGCTAGCAGGCTCAAAGATACCAGGCAGGGTTGTTACGCTTAAGGATTACCCTCCCTGGGTTACAGTGCCAGGCTTTTCATCTTCGATTTTTTTTTTTTTTAATCAAATCCCCTGGTGCCCATTGAGCTGTACTTGTTGCTATGGGTAACTCGCATCCCTCCTGGCTTGAGTTTTTGGCAGCACAGAAGCCAGGTCTGTTTATAAATAAAACTCCCACACTTCCCACAGTTGTGAAATGTCCCTCGGATCTGGCACACACCCCTGAAAGGAGCTAGGTCATCCTGCCAGCCCTCCTGTAGCACCATTTTGGGGCCCCCAGGGATCTCGCAGGGTACGTTAGTGGGTATGACTGTTCCCTAGGCCCTAATCAGATGAGTGGTTTCACTGGTATAGGGACATAGGGCTGTATAGGGGACTGCACAGCTGCATTCTTTGAGCTGGTGTTGGCTCTGCTGTCAAAGGATTTTGAGGATTCTTGTTTGAGTGCAGCAGCCTTGTAAGACGTCCCCTAAGGTTAGCAAACCTGTGAGGGAAACCCCTGAGCTGCCTGCCAGACATTCCAGCCCCTTGGGTCTGCCTGGAACTTTTAATACATGAGTCACTGAGTAGCAGGACTGTGGCCCCCTTCGCCTGATACAGATGTGAAACGTCACCCCTAAGGGCAGTTTGCTTACTGCATGGCACCAGTGCCTGCTGGGGATATTTGCGGGTTGCTTGCTGGAGCAAAGTGTATCTGACTTCCAGGCAGGCGGCTGAACAGGCTAAGGCTTGATGGCTGCTAGCTGATGGAAGTAACCCTCTCGGTGTGGGGGTTTCTTGACGCACCTTGGTGACTACTTCTGCGAGAGACCTCTGTGACACGAGTCTCCAGAAATCAGCCTAGCCAGAGTGTGAGGAGCGGATGGCTTGGGAGTTCATGGAGCCTCCTCGTCACTTTGTGATTGTTTTTTGTCAGTTAGGAAAGGCAAGGTGGGCGAGGTAATAACACTTGTTGGACCAGCCGGTCTGGGAAGGGACCTTCCAGTATCACAGCTGGGTAGGAGGTTGAACAGACAGCAAGCGCGTGCTCCGAGGGGGAGTGGTCTGCTAATGTCCCGATGTCCTTGGACGGGGAGGGGAGGGGAACTTAGTGCTTACAGACTGTTGTAATGAGCCATAAATCCAGTGTCTTTTTGAAGATGGTGGTTGTAAGGGTCTGTCTGCACTGCAGATCTCACAGCTGCCCTGCTGTCGGCTCTGCCTGGCTGCTCTGTGGCGACAGGGCAGAGCTCTCCTGTCAGCATAATTCAACTACTCCCAGCCAGCAGCGGTAGCTGTGTTGGCAGCAGTGCTGTGTGCCCAGTGGGTGTGTTGTGTTTTCCCCCCATGCTCCTGACTGACACAAGATTTACTAACAAGTGCTCGTGTGGACAAACCCTTAGCGTCTGGCAGAGTTAAGAATTTCAGTTCCCTGCTTGTCTTTTGAAAGTGAGGATGGAGGCTTGCGAGCTCAGGTACGGAGAGGTGGCTTTGTGTCCTCTGTCCTATACAGTCTGGTGGTCTAGAGCCCAGGAAACAACTTCCCTGCACAGGGAAGAGTCTGATTTGCTAATAAATTAATATTTAGCTACGGCACGCCGCATGCTAGGAGGAACGCTGTGTAAATGAAAGCGTATCCCCACCGGAGGTTGGTCCAGTACGCGATACTGCCTCACCCACGTTTGTGTGTTACATTCTGAGGTTGATGTGGCTGCAACTCATGTTCCCTCGAATCTTTTCCATCCATGTGCAGAATAAAATGGTATGTGCACGGAGGCACGTGTGAATGTGCACCACCCACAGAAGCACACAGCCTTGCTGTGGGCACTGTGCTCATCAGAAATCTCTCTGAGCAGCTGCACAAGCGCACAACTTACAGGGATCATTGGCTGCAGCCATCCTGCCCGCACCATACGTGTCCATTCAGTTGGGCTCTCCTCAGTACAGAGCAGTAATAGTTCAGAGACCTCCACTCCATTCCCCACGTGACACTCAGACCTGCCTTCGCCTGGCAGGACTAGGCCCCCGCTGTCACTGCTGCAGAGAGCAAGGCGCTGTATTGGTGGTGTCCCCTTCGCTGCACTTGCTGAAGCAGATGCGAGGGCAAACACTGAGATGAAAAGGGAAGGGTGGTTCCATACATCGGACTGGAAGGCGCCCCACTGGAAGGCTAATTGCATTTGATTAAACCGAGTAGCTTGTAGATGCCCTTCTCAATGTGCCTTTGGCCGTACACAGACACTTGGGGCATGTTCTGTTCATGCAAGGTATTTTCAGAAGGTGAAGAGGAGATATGGGAAGCACTGGGTCTTCTGAGTTTATTCAGTCACCAGGACAGTGGAGACTAGTGCTGGCTGAGGCCTCCTGGTGCTGCTGCAATAACAGTGTGGAAATGAGGAGACTGAGAGCGAACATGAGAGCAACTTTCAAGTACCTAAAAGGGTGTCACAAGAAGGAGGGAGAAATTGTTCCCTTAACCTCTGATGGAAGGACAAGAAGCAACGGGCTTAAATTGCAGCAAGGGAGGTTTAGGTTGGACATTAGGAAAACTTCCTAATTGTCAGGGTGTTTAGTACTGGAATGAATTGCCTAGGGAGGTTGTGGAATCTCCATCACTGGAGAGATTTAAGAGCAGGTTAGACACCTGTCAGGGATGATCTAGATCAGTGTTTCTCAACCTCTTTTTTTTAATAAAGTACCCCTTTTTAAAAGGTGTGTGCATGCGCAGGGCTCGCCAAACTGCGGCAAGCCCCGCTCGCCAGCTGTGCTGTCCGGTGATCTGCGCATGCACAGATCGTTCTGCGTATGCGCAGATCGCCTGAATCCGGCATCGAGCCGCACGCGCGCGTGTGTAACGTACCCCCAGTACCTAGAGTTTTCAGACGCGCACAATTTTTTTCTACCATTGCAACACATTTGTTTAAACAACTTAATCATAACTGGGTGGGGGGTGACATTTGGGTGTAAAAAGTACAAAAATAAAAAAACGCTGTAAAACTTAAAACAAATTCAGTTTTCTCCAAACTTCAGTTGTGTTGACGTACCCCCAGACTTCTCTCGAGTACCCCCAAGGATACTCGTCCCACTGGTTGAGAGAAACTGATCTAGATGATGCTTGGTCCTGCCGTGAGGGCAGGGGACTGGACTCGATGGCCTCTCGAGGCTCCTTCCAGTTCTGTGATTCCGACACTGACCTGCCGCTTTGGACTGTGGTAACCTTGCCACTTGGGAGGAGACCCCTGTTCTCAACTGCCTTTTAAATTCTGTTCCCTTCAGAAAATATGCCTCCATTTCCTCTTTGGAGCAGCGTCAGAGTTACAAGAATGACTTCAATGCGGAGTACAATGAGTACAGAGACTTGCACGCCCGGATAGAGCGAATAACTCGACGGTTCACCCAGCTAGATTCCAAGCTCAAGCAGCTTTCGCAGGGCTCTGAAGAATATAAGGTATAAACAGAAATATCTGTTGGAAAACCTAACTGCCACTCAGAGCTGGGGTTTGTTTATAATTCATGTGACCTTTTGGTTGGGGTGGATACAATACATACAATATCAGGGGGACTAATTTAGCGACAGCTGCTCACGAGAGACCTTGGTCATTGTGGATAGTTCTCTGAAAACATCCACTCAGTGTGCAGCTGCAGTCAAAAAAGCAAACAATGTTGGGAATCCTTTAAAAAAGGATAGAGAATAAGACACAGACTATCTTATTGGCTCTATATAAAACCATGGTGCGCCCACATCTTGGATACTACGTGACAGATGTGTTGTCTCATCTCAAAAGGGATATATTGGCATTGGAAAAGGATCAGAAAAGGGCAACAGAAATGATTAAATGGGTCCCATAGGAAGAGAGGCTAAAAAGACTTGGACTTTTCACCTTAGAAGAGAGACTAGGGGGGAATACGATAGAGGTCTATAAAATCACAACTGGTGTGGAAAAAGTAAATAAGGAAAAGTTATTGACTTGTTTCCATAACGTAAGATCTAGGAGGAAAAAAACAGCAAGCAAATGGTCTGGTAGCACTTTATAGACTAACAAAACATGTAGATGATATCATGGGCTGTGCCCACGAAAGCTCATGATGCCATCTGCATCTTTTGTTAGTCTATGAAGTGCTAACAGGCCATTTGCTTGCTGGGTTTTTTTTCTGTAACAGACTAACTCGGCTACCCCCTGAAGCATAAGATCTAGGGGTCACCAAATGAAATTAATAGCTAGCAGGTTTAAAACAATAGGAAGTTTTACTTCACGCAGCGCACGGTCAACCTGTGGAACTCCTTGCCAGAGGATGTGGTGGAGGCTAGGACTTTAACAGCGTTCAAAAAAAGTTAGATAAATTCATGGAGGTTAGGTCCATCAGTGGCTATTAGCCAGGATGGGTAGGAATGGTGTCCCTCGCCTCTGTTTGGAAATGGAGGACAGGAGAGGCAACATGTGGTACTGGGTGAGATGGACCTTTGGTCTGACCCAGTGTGGCCGTTCTTATGGTTTTGGGAGGACTAAAATCAGGCACTGTGTGACTATTGGTAATAAATATACGGTATACTGCCAGGAACTGATGAATGCAGAGCATCCATGAAGCTGACAGTTTTCAGGCTGTTTGTACAACAGCCGGGTGTTCTTTCATTTGGAACACACGTTGTGGTAGTTGTCGACAGGGAGCAGCCTCCCTGAGACATTTGGCGCCCCCAGCCAAGTCATGCTGGCAGCGATTAGTACGTCCTCCTAGCCAGAAAAATGATAGTTCACCCATATGGGTGCTTAGGAAAGCTGGGAAGTGAACTAATGCGGGGTCATCTGTTTCTCCTTATGCTTTGATCTTAATAGTAGAGTATTAGTCAACCTGTCAGACTGACTTTAAGAGCTTTAACTATTCATTAGCTTGAGAAAATAAGTTTCACTGAGGATAATAAACAATTCTGTTCCGAGCTCCTCTTGTACTCAGCAGCACTTCCTTTCTGCTTGAACATCCTTCCCCACCTTTGAAATACCCTCTCTTTTGCCACTGGATTATTTTGTTCTCCCAAGAAAAGCACCACTCACCAGTAAGCACATTGCAGAGTGGACTAGGTAACTCTCCTCATTTTCCCCCAGCCCCAAAATACATCCTTCCAGGACTTGCTGACAGTCTCACCATTGGCTTCAAGGACTCACCTTGGCAGTAAGATTCCTTCCAGTAAAACACACACAGTGACTACGGATGGGATCTGTTTTGGGTCCGCAAACGATTGGGAAGCTGTATATTTCGGTCTCTGTCCCTGCCGCATCTCTGCTAAACTGTCTCCCCCACCCCCTTTTGATATCGCAGAGCCAATTTCTTTTGTATGTGAATGCAAATAGACTTTTTTTTTCCATTAAGTTTGCATGTCTCCTGTACGTAGTGGAAAAATTCTGAACTGGCCACTGTTCAACTTGGAAAGGGCCATGATGACCTAAAATGCATCAAAATAATTCCATGTGCCAGGAAAGGGGGGGAATTGTACAGTAATTCGGTCCCTGTGATAGTGTGGCAGACAGTGCCCTTTGGAAAAGAAGGCAGCTTCTCACTTGACGTTGTGTTGTACTAAAAGTAGGTGCCAGTTGGGGGGGGGTGTTTGGAAACTAAGAACTTGACGGTGTCCTTTCTCTTTCAGACTACCCATGATCAAATTTTACAGGAGTATCGTAAAATTAAAAAGGTGAGTGAAAACTCTCAGCCACACCCCCAACTAATCCCTCTCTACTGGCCAGGGACAGAGATTAGCGCATGTGATGTCGGGAAGGAAAGGGCTCCCTCTGCTGGTTAGATGGGGGCTCGGTGGCTGAGGCCAGGCCCTGCGGTGAGATGCGAGTCCCCGCTTCTGGATAAGATGCTGGCGAACGAACAAACCAGTTCTCTTGCCAGTGCCTGAGAGTTGCAGGAGGCGGACCTTGAGGTTGAGGTCCCCCGGCTTTGCGTTGTGTTGGCAGTTCTCTGAGAGAGGATTTAATGACGTTCAAAGTGGCTACTAACACAGATGGACTGGCTAGTAAAGTCCTCCCCTGAGAGTACCGGCTTGTATTCTTTGTAGTACCTGCAGCGGGCGATGTGCCTCGCCGTGGGAAAAGACACGGCCCCTGCCCAAGGTGAGGTAGAAATGCCGGGAGGCAGCAAGCCGGGCAGCAGGCAGTGACGTGGGGGTGCCCCTCGAGCCCCTGCCGTTTTTCTTTGATCAGATTGTTTCTAAAGGGGATCCGAGCCCTCCCTCCGCGGAGGTGTTCGTAGGCTTGGTGCAGTGAGTTTCTGGGGCGCTTTCCCCTGGGCGCCACTTCCCTTTTCAGAAGGTTCCCAGGGCTCCGCTCTGAGGCAGGCAGGGAGGGAGGGCAGAGTGCTGCACTCTGCAGATAAAGCTGTTGTGTCCTTGCTTGATAGCCTATCTACACAGGTGACCTCTGTGTCCCCTTTGGGGCCTCATGGGGGAGGCGCTCTGTTGGCTAAGACACAGGGTAGGTGCACTGCGCACGGCAGCGTATACAGCAGGCGGGCAGTTGTTCTGGCAGCTGAAGGGAGTGTGCTGTCCTCTCCTGCTCACTCATGTCAAGGTGTGTAGCCCACAATTCCCTGCCGCGCTCAAGTCTGCACTTGGCAAAGGCAGCTACAGAACGTGTCCTGGCCTCAGCTAGGGAGGTATCTCCCCGACCCCTAGCATTTGGACTGGAGTGTCCCACTCCGGAGATAAGGAAAGGCGCAGAACAAGTTAAACTGGTGGGCTGGATCTGAAGTGACACACACAATTGTGCTGTTCACTTGTATGCAGCCCTACTGAAAAAATATGGCTGTGAATGCCGTCAGGTGAACTGCGGGCTGCAAAACTGGCTTCCTAGTGTGCTGCTTTGCCTTTAGACGATACATTGGCTGAGCTTCGTTCTTTGGTCTTGTACTTTGGGATTCAAATGTTAAGGGTCAAAATCAATTGACTGTCCTTGTGGCCGTACTCTGTTAGCCTGGGAGACCTGTTATAGGCCTCGGTTTGCTCTGTATCACTGCACTCTTAAGGGAGCATCATCTTAACGTAAAGTATGGTTGCATTTATAAGGTTTTGTTGACCGTTTTATAGGGGTGTAATGTGAAAGCATGTTACATTTGTGATGTGGGTTAATTGTGACAGGCTAGAACAGGTCGTTTGATTCCTGTCTATAATACCGTCTTAAGAGGTCTGTTCATCCAGCTTTTTATAAGTAGAGCCTTAGTATATAGGCACTGTAATGGGCACCTCTGTCCCCTTCCATCTGCCAAGTGGTGGGGAAGCGAACTCCAGAGCATGTCTCATGGGAAATGTAGCAGTTGCTGGCCTGTGCCCTCCCAGATCTGCCACGCACAACCTGCAACCTGTATCCTCGCTGTATGTGCCCTTCCCTCCTCAGTGGGGAGTCCCAGCGGTCTCCCATTTAGAGGGGGTGTTTAGCTGCCTTACTGGCGTGACCCTGCCCAGAATAGCTTGCGACGTTCAGATTGAAAGTGTGCTGAGGGCTGGAACTGGTTCATACCATCCATTCTCTGCACAGCTTGCGGCAACCTGGCAACAGCCAATCCACGTGCCTTTTTAAGGGGGGGGAGGAAGAAATCTTGCTGATTTAAGAAATGTAATTGGATCGTAAAAGTGTTAATCTCATCCGCGACTTAAGGATAGTGACTGTCCATCCAGCAAAGGAACCAGATGTCAGTCACCACTGACCTACCAGGAACAAAGTTTGCCTTTTGGGGCTGTCTGATCCTCTCTAGCTGCAATATGTGTTTGAGAGGTCTGGAGAGCTATTAACTTGGGTGATTGTGTCTTCCTTCTCCTTGCAGACAAACCCTAATTACAGCCAAGAAAAGAATCGCTGTGAATACCTCCACAACAAACTGGCTCATATAAAAAAACTGATAGCAGAGTATGACCACCAGCAATTTTAGTCTCGGCACTAATATCCAGACTGGGTAGTGCAAAAAAGTTCACTTGGGATGTTACCGTTTCCTTTATACAACGACAAAATAAATTCCTTTCGGAGCCAAGCACGAAGTCCTTGTGGTTGGAAGAACTTGGGGATTATTATGATGCGGAGTCTGTGACATCAGCATCTGAGCCCAGTAGGAAAACCAGCACCTGGCGTAGTCCTTAAGTTTTACCCTCTCTGAACGTTGGAAAGTTTAAAAAAAAAAAAAAAAAAGGAAAACCTGCTTATTTGAAGCCAGCATGTGACACTTAAGGGAAATCCTGCCTAACGTGAATAAAACTCCCAAAGGTAAAGAATCCATCGTTCTTATGGATTAAAGTTTGCAATGAAGTTTGGTTCTCGCTGGCCCAGCTCTTGCTGCGCTGCATATTTTCTTCTGCAAATGGTGAGGAACTGGAATGCTGCTAAGTTACCTCCTCCTTCGGCACCTGCGACTGTTCATATGCAAGCTGTCTGCGCTACACGGCTCCGTGTTAAATACTCAAGTTCCCAGAGCGCTCGCTGTTTGTTCCTCTTTGGCTCCGGTTTGTGCTCCCCTCCCAGTGGCTGGGTCAGCAGGAGGGAAACAGCCCCGGGAATCTGCACCAAATGTTTTGCCTGATGCAGATTTGGGATTCTCGGTGTAGGAAATCTCTTCTCCAGCCTGTGTGTGGAACCCGATGGTGTAAACTGTGATGGTTTCTCCAGTGTGCACAATTCAGTCAGCCTGCGTGCTACTTCTCATAGCAATGCCAGGAAGACGGAGACCTGTCTGTCTTTGACTTTTCTAGTTTTATATCAAGACAGCCAATTTTATTAATTGCTAATGAGACTGTGGTCTATTTTTCTATATATATATAAAAAGAAGCATCTTTTCTAAAACTGTGCCTCCCTTTTCCTTTTAGGCCAAATGTTTCAGACCCTTCCCTGTCTTACAACAGCAGTATTACTAATGATCACTGGATTGTTGCCCAGAGAAGTTATTTTGGTTGTAACGACCCTTAGAAAGGGATAAATGAGGATTTGGTGGGGTGGAGGAGGAGGGTGGTAGCTTTGTCTGTGCTCTTCGTGTTTCCAAAGCAGCAGCAGAGGCTCAGAACAGGAACCCAAACTTGTTTGAGAGAAATAAGGTGGTGTTTCCACTTAGACCGGTGTGCTGTGTCCAGCCCCGTCCTCTTGAGTTTTGGACTTGGAGGGAACACTTCAGGACATAGCCAGGGCATGAGGAACTCTGCAAAAAGCACCAAGGTGCCCTTTAGCTCCGTGGTTTTTACCTAACCCTGCCAGCCGACGTGACTTTTTTTTTAACTCCCTCCCACTTCCATTGTCTCTTAGAAACAGCAGAGGGTTTCTTTGGCTCCCCGGTGGTGGTGCCTTCCATCAGAAAAACGTGGTCCTCTTTGGAGAGTGAAAGGCAGCGAATGAGAAGAGGGCTTGTTCTCTGAGGGTCTGTGCTCTGTGTTGCTGCCCCAGAAAACGTGGGTCCATCTGAAATAATTCCATTCTCACTGGACTCTATCGCTGCTAGTTTGAATAGGCTCGTACGCTGAAACCTCTCGCCATTTGTCATCCGAAAAGGCCCTTGTTCAAGGTCCTGCTGGCTCCTCCTGCAATGGCCCCTGCCAGGCTCATGGCCTACTGCAGGAAGCTGCCGTGGAGCAACAGGGAGCCATTTTGCCTAGACCACTCTGCTGACAGTGGGGTTTCTGCTCCTGGCCCTACGGCTGTGGTGCAGGACTAGACAGTGGCCAGTTAAGTTCTGCAGAAACATCCAGGAGCGCCTCGTGTGTTTTGAAAGCCAGTCTGGAAAATGTGGCTGTCTCCACTTCCCCTACCCACAGAGCAGACTCCAGTTCTGTGGTGGCCGGGAAGGGTCACTACTTGTGTCCCTAAGACACATCTTCAGAACATCTCGTGCCCTACTGATACGCCCAGTGGACAGAGGAAGCTGAAAAATATGGATGATTTCTTCAGAACATCTCGTGCTCTACTGATACGCCCGGTGGACAGAGGAAGCTGAAAAATATGGATGATTTCAAGTGAAAAGCTTTTGTCCAAGTTTTTTTTTTTTTTCTTGAACAATATGTTTATCCGGTGTAAGAGTTCCCCCTCGCCCCCGACAGCAAGTGGTGGCTTCATGGGGATGTCAGAAACCGGGGATGTCCATTTTTCCTTGCAGGAGCTCAAACTGCTTAGATCCGACAGACTTTCTGTAGCCGTGATCTGTTTTCTGAGCCATGTCCATGATCCAGTGTGTCCCAGCTGTGCTCCATGTTGGGGGTTACGCCACCCTGTTCGGGGGGGGCTCCTTTTTCACCTTGCTTGTGAAAGAGAAGCACTCTTAAGATTCACAGGCCCAAATAGCAGCTGGGTATTTGCTAGCAGGTGTGAGAATCCAGCATTTTCATGTGGCAGCCCTAAATCTGCATGAAGCCGCTCCCTACTGCTTCCTGCCTTCAGGATGCAAACAGCTGCTGCAGCTGGGGTTGAAAAGCTTTTTCTGTCCGTGGCTTTCGGATTTGGGGATCTAACCTGTAGCACAAACGACACTTCCCAGCCAACAGGTTTTTTTAGCAAAAAAACACAGCGTATGTTTCCTCTTGGAAATGCGAGAAACCATGAAGCTCCAAACTGGCAGAAAAGGGCAACAGTTATGAACCAAGATAAATAAATTCTTCCACAGACACTTCTCATTCTGCTCCTTAATATTTCGAAAGGGGTTTTGTTTTGGGGTTGGGGTTTTTTTTTTGAGGGAAGTAGAGATGGATCTCTGTCTTTATACATCTGCTATAAAATATTTTTGCAAACAGAGTTGTATACAAAGATGTATTATGTACACTTACATGTATATTCTAGAATTGGAATATAAAGCTGAAAAAATATTTAATGACTATCCAAACTGTGAGACCCAATTAGCTTTTAACTTTCTGCTTCACTTTTCTTTTGGTCTGTGTTACGTAGTCCAATCTGCCTTTTTTTTTTTTCTTTTTAGCGAGTATGAAGCGAGGCAAATCTTGTGCTTTTTGGGTTAATAGAAACCAGTTCTAGATGATTAAGTATGATCTAACTTATTAATACTGTGTTTTACTTTGTAATATTGTACTGTGGATAAAACTATATTGAGCCATGGAGTTGGAGTTTACAAAGAGCTTTTCACTTTGCCAAAATGTTACAATTTAAAGGCAGCATACTCTTCAGCTTTTTCCTAATCTTTTCTTAAAAAGAGCTAGTGTCTTTTTGTACACTAAAAAGCTGAATGCTGATTTTGCAACATATAATAAATTCACTGTATTGGAAAACAAGCACAGCAAGGTGGCATATTTCTTTTCAGAGTTTATTTCTGAGGGTAACTCGTTGGCAGTTCTAACCCCCCATCAGGAATGAGCCAGAATGTTCGAAATCCTGTGCTAAAATTCTATCTTGGAACCATACCAATGCAGTAGGTACGAGAGCGGCACGTTGTATGCCGTGACTCTTAGCAGGGTGCGGCATGGTCCATCCCAGAAGTGGCTTCCAGCCTGTCGCTCTCA